GTGAATGAATTTTATGGGATGTAAATTACACTTCAATAAAGTTGTAAGAACCACCATAATCCTAGAGGAAAGCTACTTGAGTCCAGCAGACAAATATTCTCCCTCAATAAGCAAACTTCCGTCAAGCTAAATTTAAAAGAAACAGTTGGTCAGATGGCATAAATTCAGAGCAAATAAAATTAAGATTTATATATATCTACTTTGCAGAGCTTCACCATTGTCTTCCTGGAGTGAGACTTTGGTTTACTGCTGTGGCTTTCATTCTTCTAGGTTCTGCTTGTCAAATAATTCTTCCTTTGGGGCTTATAACACAGATCTTGTTTGGGAACCTTTCACTGTCTTAAAATTTAAGATCTCTTGTAGATTGGCACTAATCTCTATGAGTTACATTTCTAGCTTAGTATTCAGGGCAAGTTTTGTTTCTAACTTGTAGTGCAGAGAAGAAATATTTTTCCTTTAGCCTCTTATTTTCTCTTCTTGAGGCCTGTGAATTAAATTGGAAACAGGAAAAAAAAAAAAAAAGCAAATTCTACTTATATTTTTATGTCTATGGGGGCTTCAGAGAAAAAAAAAATGAAAACCCAAAGAAGCAGTTGTACTTTGCATACAGTGATGGTGACCTTCTAGAGACTGAGTGTTCAAACTGCAACCCAAAACCCATTTATTTGTTGCAAAGTGCCAACATTGCAATTAAATCTGAATGCTGAGGTTTAGGTTACAAAAAACAACTCATAACATTACCATCTTTTGTCTTAAAAGAAAAACAAACTGGATGGGGTGGTGGCGCACACCTGTAATTCCAGCATGTGGGAGGCTGAGGCAGGATTGCTGAAAGATTGCCTGGGCTACCTAGTGAGTTCAACACCAGCCTGGACTACACAGTGAGACCTTGTCTCAAAAAAAAAAAAGAAAAATTGGGGTGGGGATGCAGCTCAGAGGCATAAGCGCCTGCCTGGCAAGTACAGGAGTTTGATTCCAGGTACAAAACAAACAAACAAACAAAAAAAGTCAACCAATGGGGGGGAAAAAACAAAGAAAAGGATAATAACATAGCTTTCAGCGATATAAACAGCCCACTGTAGCATGTGTGCCATAGGTTCACCACCACTGTTATATACCATCTTAACAAAAGGCAATACAATGTGGAGCAGTGATTAGACCAGAGAAAGGAGTTAAACTCCAGGGGCAGTGAATTGTGAGAAGTTCCTAGCAAAGGTGTGGTAGACAAATGCTATTTATTAAGATCTGTTATGCAGATTCATTTTGGAGCTTTCTCAAGACTTTCTGCCATAGAAGGTTCTGGTCCTACTGGCCAAATATTCCCCATTCTGGTTGCTATTCCTGTTTTTAATGTACTTCTACATTTTGTTTCATGATTTTTTTTGAGATAGGGTCTTGCTATGTAGCCCAGGCTGGCCTTGAACTCATGATGATTCTCCTGCCTCAGCCTCCCAAGGGTTGGGATTACAGGCGTGCACCACCACACCCAACTTATTACTGCTTTAATAAAGACAAATTTATTCTCTGCTTTAGGAGAAAGGAGGAATGCAGAGAACTCATCCTGCGATGGCTGTTTCTCAATTGCCTTTAACTCCCAGGAATCCTTATGCCAACATGTCATATTTTGAGGTGTCATATTCTGATTCCCCTCAATGATTATTTATAGCTTTTTGTTGTTTAGGATCATATTTGTGGAAAATAAAGTGGGTTAAATTTTTTTCTTTCTAGAAAATCTTTATGCCCCATTCGTCTAGGCATTAAAGTAGTAGAGTACCCTTCCTGCAAATGGAAGCAGCTTCCCTAATAATTTCAACTTGACAAAATGTACTCCAGATAATTCAAATGTATATGTCATGAAATATTGGCGGCATACTTACACTAAAAAGTATCCATTTATCATCTGAAATTAAAGTTTAACTGGTAATCCTATGTTTTTTATTTGCTAAGAAGGACAATGCTATATGGCAGGCATGGCAAACTCAGGAAAACAGGAGGGAAGAAACAAACACCATACTTTTGTATTGCTGTAAAACATACATAGTATAGAATTTGCCATTTTAATCATTTTTAAATTCAATGAGATTAGTACATTCACATTGTTGTGCAATCATCACCGGTATCCATCTCCGAAACGCTTATACCCATTAAACAATAACGTCCCGCCCCTCTCTCTCTGTAACCAGTTATATTCTGTCTCTCGATGTGATGTCCCCATATTATTAGTTTCAAATCTGAGTCGACAAGTGCAATCTTTAGCAAAGGAAAGGAGAAAATCATAGCCCTTGAGTTTTACAGTCCCGCCAGAAGTATCAATATTTGAAGGAGAGTCACAATCAAAGGGACAAGGCAAGAGAAATTGCCTTCTTCCTAGTTTGGAACTAGAATCTCCACTCTTGTTTATGCCTTTCTACATATAACGCCTTTAGATAATGGCCTATAATGCCACTACAAGTGTCCACAAACAAGGGACTCCATTTTTTCAGCCTGTGAGAAGGGCTGGGCAGTCTTTATTCCGCCACGCCCCAGCTTCAGTAACCAAGGGAACCCCGGCGGGCGTGGCGTGGCCCAGGAGTGGCCGGATCCGGAAGTAGGGTTCCGCGGCGCCTGAGAATCAGCCCCGCCCTCATCCCCGCCCACCGGAATCCATCGGCGCGGATGACGTGTCGGTGTAGGAGTTGGCAAGGTGCGGCAGGGCGGCAATGCGCATGAGCAGCCCGCAAATGCAGCGAGCCCGCAGTCTGGAATCTGGAGGTCGTTTTTATTAACGAAGATTCCATCTGTCCGGGTTTTTTCTGAAGCTGAAGCCGGAATAGTGAGGAAGGGGCAGGTCTCAAGGAAAGAACTATGGAGACCCCCCCGCCCCCCCATCACACACACCCCAAGTCGCTGCGGATTCAGCCTTAAGGGGTATCCTGGTCACTGTAGGAAGCCAATCTCCTTTCCTCCTCTGTGGAAGAAGAGAGTTAAACGCATCTGGAAAATGTCGAGTTTATTTCAGCACTGAAAGTCCGCGACTCCAAATTCAGATCTCCATGGCCTGGCGATCTCCGGTCATGTGCTACCCTTTTCCTTGTTTCTCCAGCCTCTAGGGATGGAGAGGTGTGGGATGGAGAAACCAGGCCCTTGAAATCAAGGGAGTTTTAATAAATGGGCAAATGGCACTGCATAGATAAACATGATCATTCCAGATAGTGGTAAACACAGTTCTGTGGGCGCCTGGATTTCAGCAGGAGAATGGAATTGAGGGATGCCTAGGTAGTGTAAGACAGCACTTGGCGGGAGTGGAAGCTGAAGCTATTGCGGTGAGGAGTTCAGGGCTGGGGTTTGGCCTGGACTGGTAGTGGTGGGCATGGACGAGTCTATGGTTAGCTGCCCAGCGAACAGTACTTGCTGAACGACAATATGGGGAGTGAGGAAATGGAAATTTTAGCACATCTCCCTGGTTTGGGGTTGAGAAACAGGTGGGCAGCGGGTAGAGGTAGGGAAATGTGGCTAAGAAAAAAGTAGGGGTCAAGGCCGTGATGTCGTGAAGGCCAAGTTTTAGTGACTAGAAAAATAGGTGGACAAAGTGTTAATTTTCCTCCCCCTTTTTATTTTTTGGAGATAATGGTCACTCATAAGGGAAGTCTCCATTACTTTCAAGTATAGGACATCACAAATTCTTTCGCTAGCCTAGAGAAATATGTTGATTTGAGGGAGAGGGTTGTGTGAGAGGGAAGCCATCCACACCCTCTTTTTTGCTCATGGTCCCACTAACTTTGCTTTAGTTACATAAAAATGGCCACATTCTTCTGTGCCAAAAAGTGTGTTCCGTATATTTTTTATTTAACCTTCATAACAGTTGTAGGGAGATGAACTTTTTTTTTGTTTTTTATTTCTCCATTCTCCCATCATTAATTAATGTGCGCAGGTCACCTAACTAGTTAGTGGTGGTCCTAAGCTGGAACTCAGTGCAACCTAGCTTTGCAAGCCAGAATTTTATCTTTCATTAGTCCAGTATCCACCAGTGAATGGTTCTTAAACTTTTAAGCAGAATGTTAAGAGTCTCTTGAACATTTAGTGAAAGTTAAAGAACTTCCTTGGGGAAAATGTGAAACACAAGAACTTTTCAACTTACCTTGTTTTCTGAATTTGCTCGTTCCTGAGTTTTGAACTGGAGGTCCCCTACATCCCTCCCCCATAAATCCATGTCTCTCTCTCTCTATATATATATGCATTTTTTCTAAACATTTGGTTGACCTCTTAAAGCTAAATTGAATTACTTTTTTCTGTCACTAAAAAGTAAAGTTCCCAGTGAAAAATATGCAGAAAATGCAACACCCAGGAACGCACATGTACATCTGTAAACTTTCACGCGGGGACGCGACAGGACATTAATGGGTAAAGTGAGTGTCTTGCTCCAGGGTAATCATACCCTATTTGCCACAACTACTTTCTACAATGAGCTCTCAGGCGCGTCTGTCTCCCCTCGCAAAGAAATGTCAACACTTCCTGCTGTTCACCTACTAATTTTCTTCCCACCTGAATGTCCATCTTCCTTAAAGACATCTGTTTAATTCTGTGCACATGACCTCTGTCTCACACAGGACTGCATCGCCACAGCCAATGCTTGGAAACTCCGTGAATACGCCTTCGAGTATCTGTCTTTGCAGAGGTATAGACAGCTCCATCCCATTCGTTTCTTTATCCTGTTCCCAAACAGGTGTCCCCCGAACTTTTCCTCCCCATCATCACCACCGCCTCCATCAGCAGTGACTTTCTGGAGCATCTGCTTTGTACGAGGGGTTTGGCATGGTTAAGGAGTTGAGGACGTTTATGGGAAATTACTAAAACGGCAGCGAATGGGGAGCGCCCGATCGTAGCTCTAGCTCGGAATTTGCAATCAGAACTCTAACGCCGGAACAACTCTCCGGCGGAAGCGCCGAAAACCCGGAAAGTGGATCTCCTCCACGCTCCTCCCGGAAACTCCTTGCTGCGCTTGCGGCACTCTCATTGAGCATGTGCAGACGGCGTTGCGCATGCTCCGTCGAGGTCCGGCTCGGTTTCTGTTGCGGGGCCCGCGGTGTCTCCCAGCTCTACCGGAACTAAGCCGTCGTGGGGCTGGCCTCCCTCACTTCCAGCGGCCTCGTCGGGCCTCGTCGTAATCTCCGAGCCTTCCCGTCCCTTCTCCCCTTTTCACCCCCTAGGCTCGGTTGCCCTTTCCCCGAAGCAGCCGTCATGAGCGCCAGGCAGCGGGTGTCGTCTCCACCTCGGGGGCCGCGGTGGTTGCTGCTGTCGCTTCTTCTGCTAGGAGCAGCACCAGGCCCGCGCCCGGGAAGCGCCTTCTACCTGCCGGGGCTGGCGCCGGTCAACTTCTGCGAAAAAGATAAGAAGAGTGACGAGTGCAAGGTGGGTGCGGCCTGGCAGGCCCCCGGGGTGCCCTGGGCGGAGGGGAGGTGGTCCGGGCTCGGGGCTCTGGAGTCCCCGGCTGGGAGCGCGGGGAGGGGGCGGAGCCGTGGGTGGGGTCGAGTTGTCGCGGAGCGCCTGGCGTGTGCTGGGCTCGGGATGAGATGCTCAGGAACGATCCTTGCGGGGTCGACCTGGAAGACCCAGTCCAGAGTCCCCAAGCTCAGCCCGCGCCTTCCAGGCCAGGTCGCGAGCACAGCTGCACTCCCTCACTGTCCCGGCGGGGACTGTTAGGAGGAAGGAGTCGGCTGCGTGCAGCAGCTCCAGCCCCGTGTCTTGCACGCCGAGGTGCCCTTTTGGGGCAACTCCCAACTTAGTTACAGTTTACAGTAACTTTTAACTTCATTGCTGTTTCATTTCTGTTTCATTGTACTGCTTTTTTTTTTTTTTTTTAAACCTCCTGTTTGATTATGAGAGCTTGTACTTTGTTAGGACTTTGATATCCAGTTTCATGATTAGCTGTTGATTACTTTGTGTAATCTATCGCTCAGAGCCGCATAATGTGCATTAGGAGAGTTGCTGTAATAATGCCTGGCACATTTAATTTCTGTCTTTTGAATGTTAAAAAATTTAATATAAAAATATACCCCACTATTTAATTTCACAGAGATTTGTTTTAAACACAAGGAGTCAATGAGCGAGAAACTGGTGTTTTTCCTAGGCCTAGTCTTGAAAAGGTTGACCGCCTTAGAATATTCACACTTAGGGTTTTTAGTTTAACTGCTAGTGAAAGAGACGTGAGTAACCGCCTTAGGTTATTCCGTGAAGACAGGACATACGCAATTATTTTAAGTTGCTAAAACAACTTGTGGGAGATGAAGATCTCTTTGAAACCATTAATAATTTTTACAGTCCAAATAATCGTTCAGCCAACTTTTACAATCTATAAATAGGTTGCCTTACTAAGTTTGATTTTTTTAAAAAGCTAGTGTTTATTTTATTACTGCTAACTTTACGTTAGCTGTGAATTTTGAGGTTATTTTAAGGCATTAGAGAAGCTTTTAAACTTTTCATTGCATTTTGCATTTGTGTTTTAAGTTTGTCAGCTTCCCTGAATGACATGTTGATACATCTGTTAAAAACTTGTATCTGTAAAAATGCCTAAGGGCCTCAGGGGGCTCACCCAAGTCAGGGGTGGATATTTCAGTCCTTCACTCATAACATGCAGCAGAAAAAGCTCTCATTTTTTTAGGTTTTATTTTTATTAGTGTATGTTTACAATACAGAATGATGACCTTTATCGAGGGGAGTTAGTATATGCACAGAGCACATCTTTTTACTGCCCCTCCCCCTCCCCATCTCACTTACGTTTGAGGCTTCTGATTGAATTATAGCACCACCCCCCAACCAAGGGCCTTTGCACTGAGCGACATACTGTACCTTTTTTATTTTATGACGCAGTCTCTCCAGTAAGTCACTAAATTGCCACGGCTGGACTCCAACTTGTGATCCCCCTGCCTCAGCTTCCCAAACTGCTGGAATTACAGGCTTGCACCATCATGCTCTGCATGATCTTTAATTTTAATAGCAATTATATATTGTATTCCTAGTTCCTCAAAGATGAGGAATATATTCCCTATCTTCTAGGAACCGCAAAGCAAGAGATAATAAGCTTATAAACAGAGTGGTGAAATCAGATATATGATGAAAGGTTTGTATTCAAAGTGCTCTTAAAACAGAAAAGAAGAAACCTCTGTGGATTGAGGTTTTCAGGGAGAGCAGCAGAAAAATGACACTTGAGGAGGGTTCAGAAAATGAGGATGAGGGAACTTACAGGTTACCTGCCGGGTGGGTGGTTTTTGTTTTCTCAAGTGGCCACATTTTAGTTACTTTTCATTAATTTGGGGGGATGCTTTTGGAATTTTAATTTTGATAGGTCTGGGGATAAAATAAGCAAGGCAGATCCATTTTCTGAAATGTTTAGATTTTCATCATCATTGCCAGCTAGTCACATTTTGGCCAGTGGAAACAACTCTCAGAAGAGGAGGAGGAGGATGTTCTTTTAGCACTTTGCCCCTAAAGCTTAACCATCTGGTGCAGAGAATTTAAACTTTTAGCCAGGGGAATAGCTCAGTGGCACAAGTGCCTCCCTGGAGAGCACATCATCTTGAGTTTGATTCCTGGTACCCCCCCGCCCCCAAAAAAGAGAGAATTTAAACTTTCACAATTCTTACTTTTGCTCTCAGTGGAGATGCTATAAATGACAGTAAGCAATTTAAATTTTTATTGCTTCAGTCAGAGTGGCAACAATAGTTTATTCTTTCCCATTCCATATTTCTTAAGGAAGACAGTGGTAATTATTCAGAAAAGCGGTAGAGACGTCTTTGTCTTTTAAAAATTAGAAGCAGGGGCTGGGGATTTAGCTGGGGCTGGGGATTTAGCTCAGCGGCAAAAACGCCTGCCTGGCAAGTGCAAGGTCGTGAGTTCGGTTCCCGGTACTGGAGAAAAACCAAAAAAAAAAAAAAAAATTAGAAGCAGAAGTTGTGGAATGGGAATAGTTATTTCCAAAAGTGTTGTTAGGGAATTAGGCAGGTTGTTGATAGTATTTCGATTCATTTTTTTTTCAGCTATAAAATAGAGATAATCATATTTGCTCATATATTCCTTTTGAGAGATATTTTGCATTTCTTGGAGGAAAAGAACAGTTTTTATCATTGTGATATTGTAATAGAGATGAAAGAAGCATAAATGTAATTTATACAGTACAGTATAGACTTTATATTTACTATGAAGTCTATGTCCTGCAATTTTTAGTTAAGTATGTATTTTGAGCCCTGCATATAGCTCAGCGGCACGAGTGCCTGCCCTGGCAAGGGCAAGGTCATGAGTTCAATTCCTCCTACCAAGGGAAAAAAAATGTATTTTGAGAGACGATCAGAAAAACCCAGAAGGGATGGGGTATAGCTTAGTGATAGAGTGCATGCCTAGCATGTTGGAAGGTCCTGAGTTCAGTTCTCAGCACCAAAAATAGCAGAACCTTGAAGCTTTGGTCATTTTGTCACCTTAAAATTATTTTATGTTTAATTCACTGGCAGAAAAGCAAGAGTCATGGGATCATAAAATTCTATTTATATTGCTCTTTATTTTTTTCATCTTATTTATTTATTTTTGGTGGTACTGGGGTTGAACCTAGGACCTTCATTTTGAGCTACATTCCCAGACCTTTTTAAATTGCTTTTTGAGACAGGATTTTATTAAATAACTAATTATTTAGTGGCATTGCTGATGTTGGGCCCAAACTTGTGATCTTCCTGCCTCAGTCTCAGAGTACAGGGATTACAGCATTCCTGGCTTACATTGCTCTAACTTCTGATTTATGATCTTGACCTTCATAAATACTGTAGCTGTTTCTGTAGCTTTTCTGGGAAGGAGGGGGTTGAGACAGGGTCTTACTTTGTAGCTCAGTCTGGCCTGGAACTTGATGCAGTTCTCCTGCCTCAGCCTCCCAAGTGTTGGGATTACAGGCATGTGCCACCATGTTTAGCTGTAGCTTTTTTTTTTTTAAAGTACCATCATTTCCTATGAATACATTTTAATGTCAGTAGACAGTAGTTCAATATAGAGAATGCTTTTATAGACTAGTATTTCCTTTTTATAGACCATATAGTATATCATTTTCGTTACTATGATTTTCTTGACCATTTCATGCTTGTAGGACATTTAGATTAGTTCATTTTCTCTGTTATAAATAGCTTCATTAAAATGTGTTTAGTAGGAGTTAATTTGCATATTCCCAAATATAAAATTACTAGGTCAAGAGAAGCAGTTTTATAGTTCTATTTAGTACTGCCAGATTTCTTTTAAGAAAAACAGATTTGATTGCCTGTGGCTAAATGATACAGTATCAGCACAATGTTTTAATTTTTATTTATCAATAGCTATGTGATGATACCTAAAACATTTTGGATACGTTACTTTCATTGTTGAGGTTTCTTTTCTGTAGCATCTGTTTTTCTGTAGCATTCTTTCCTGTAGCATCTATTTTCTTTTTTAAAATCAAGACAATATATGACTCTAATAAGTCAGTTAAAGCCCTGGAAGTGAATAGAGCTGCATAAAGTGTGAAGTTCTCATTTGATCTTCACAATATTGACTATTTCAGTTGCATGCTGTTTAGCTTTAGACCAGTTTCTCAGTGTGTGTGAGTGGCATTCTGATAGCTAGTAGTTGAAAATTAGCATTTACAAAAAAAAAAAAAAGACAAAACAATACTTTCTGGCTGAGCGTGGTGGTGCATGCCTGTCATCCTAGCACTTGGGAAGCTGAGGCAGGAGGATTGTTGTGAGTTCAAGACCAGCCTGGGCTACAAACTGAGCTCAAAGCCAGCCTGAACTGTGTAGTAAGACCCTGTCTCAAAGAAAAAAAAGAAAATTAGCATTTACCTTTGCTCCTTTTAACTTTCAAGTAATTATTGACTCCTCAACATGAATTCAGAGCTAAAACTAAAAGTAACATTAACTCTCCAAAGCATCTGCCTTGTTTTTGCTGTTTGATATATAGATCATATTCTTAGATGAAAGATCTGGAAGGAAAAATAACCAAATACTATACCCCTAGTGGTAAACAAAAAGAAAAGTTTAATTGAATTAATTTAACAATTTATTGATAAAAAGGAAGCTTACTCAGAGTCATACTTTTAACCTCTTTTTATTGGTATTTTTAGAAACTTTTTATAAATTGCGTGCTATTTTAGGAGGAGTTGCCTTTAATACAAAATGAATCAAGTTTCAGAAAGCAGCCCTTGGTATTCCTCTGAAAAGACATAGAATGAATGTTTCTATGCTGGAAGTAGTTTGAAGATTTTGAAGTAAAAAAATGCCCTGATTTATGTGTGTACTTGGTATAAGTGATAAATATTAACATCTACTTTCTCACTCTCAGAGTTTTCTCCAGAATGAAAGCATTGATTCTTAAAGTCTGGAGGTGTGTGTGGGTGTTACTGA